AACCTATTCACCTGCCCACCGACTCACCCATCCTGCCGATCGCCAACCACCAGGACTAAAACCGCATCCCAAGAAAAAAACTTATTTTACAAATGACCATCAGAGATCACGAGGCACAGATTGAACACATTAAGTTGATGTAGATTTGAAACAATTCCAAATTTAAAATTCTAAAACACAGATTCTGAACAAATAAATGGTAATGACTGCGACGAGTATAATTTTAGGGTTAGACTACGTGAATATAAATGTCTCGTTAAAGCTGCCACCACCTGACACAGCCAATCAGTAAGGTTTGTCACTTAAATAAAAAGTGCCAATTAGTTACTACTTCAGCACACCGGTGGTGTATTGGAGAGTAAATCCACACCGATGACAATTCGAGTATGACGTATTGCTGCTGATTACAACCAGCTTCATCAGGCAATAGCCAGAATTGTCAAAAGGTAAATGCTGTGTGTTTACTCTCCAACACACAATCGGTGTGTTATAGTAACTAATCAGAATGTTCTGTTTAAGTGACAAACTGTAATTCATTGGCTGTGTCAGGTAGTGGCGGGTTTAACGACACTTTTATATTTACGCGATCTAACCCAAAATGAAAATAAATATTAAGGATAATATTGCTCGCGAAAGCCTACGTATAACTGTAAAAATTTCATAAGAATTTACAACGTGCAGTTTACTCTGAAGAAACCTAGCCTCACCCTTTCTGGTGTAACTTGTTTGTGGGAAAAACCAACACCGTGTTCATGGTTACCATGGGGTTTTTGCAAAATATAAAAATTGCGACTCTTACACCCTGACACTGTGTGAATGTAACGCCACGTCTACACAGGTGAGCAGGGCTGCCGCAGGGAACATTCCAGGGCGCGTCTCGTGGTGTTCATAATTTAACTGCAGGTGAAGTCAGTTCGTTTGCTTGTTCATCGTGGCTGCTCTGTGATTTTTTTTTACATCTAGCTGCAGTGGCTCTGAGATATTAACTTTATCGCCTGGTATACAGGAGCTCGTGGGTTCGATCCCGACCCTGACGCCTGCTGTATTTTTAGAGTCTGCATGTCTCTCTCTAATCATCATCATGGTGGCAAGGAGATGTTAACTACCTCGCCTGATATACATGCGGTCGTGGGTTCGATCCCGAGCCTGACGCCTGCTGCTGTATATTTGGAGTTTGCATGTCTCTCTCGCCGTGGTCCTGTGGATTTTTCTCCGCTCCCTCTGCTTTCCCCTCGACATTTAGAATCCACATCACGCGTTTTGAGTTTTTGGCTGAGAAAATGTCCACGGGAAAAGCCACTTCGCTGGGCTTTCATTTGTGGCCAGGTCGCCTTTGGGAAAAAGAGCTACGTAGCTCAGTGGACCTTACCTTGTGAAATTTATATTTATATTTTTTATAGAATCTGCCAAACTCAACGAGTCCAGGATTTAAAATGTCAACATTTGACAATAATAGGTGATGAAGACTTGTTTACGTGATGATGGTTTTAAACGTTGAGCAAGATTTTTTTATGCATATTAGGAAAATGTACAGTGATAGTCATACCGATATTGAGCTTTGACGAACGACGATGTTTGTTTAGCAAGAGGCTGTTCGCTGTGGGAATGCGTGAGGCAACCCACCCAGGGACGGATGATCTCACATGAGGAGCGTGAGTAGCGGCATGGAGAGTTCGACTCCTGCCGCCTCGACAACCGCGACGGCGACGTCTGGGGCCGTTTGACCGGGGGAAGTACCGAGACTTGCGTCGTTTACAGAGGACTATGGAGTGAAGATCTTTCGCTGAAGCAGTGGTGATGCTCCTGCTGTTGTGGAGTGACTCATGCGGCCAGCTATGGCTGCAGGGTTTTGGTAGTACATGTTGTTTATGCCATTTATTGTGAAAATTCCGTCACAGTTCCTATGATTGCTTTTTCATTGCTTTCATTGCTTTATTTTGATGATTTCGAAAAGTGTATTGGTTTAGCCATGTTTGTTTGTTGTAGTACAGAGTTAGACTGATGGCCTTAATCTAAGTTGTCTTGTGGTTGTTGTTGTTGTTTGACTTGCATCCCACTGGGATTTTTGCACACAGCGTTGGTGTACGGTGTTTTTTTCTGCAATATTTTGCTGTCTTTTCTTGGATTTTCTGTTTGCACTTAGTCACATCTTCACTTTAAGATGTTTTTCGTTCCTGTTTTTGTTTTTTGTTTTTGCGGTTGCACCCGATTCAAGAGCCGAATGGCTCACAGGGCTATACCTAATAAATGAACTTGAACTTGAGGGCTAAGCAGCCATTCATGTGAGTAGGTAGATAGATGATGATGAAGTGGATGAAAATAATAATAACCATGATGAAAAATTCTAGATTTTAAGCTTTCGTGACTGCAAGGATTCATACTCTTAGGTTTTTTTTCCGGTAAAGTCACGTAGGTAAAAATAAATAATAAATATATTTCTATTATTATTTCTTTTATTTTTATTATTTATTTTTACCTACCTGACTTTACCGAAAAAAACCTAAGAGCATGATGAAAAAGTTACAACCAACACCCACTCATTTGCACCCAACACCCTCCCACCCGGTCATCTGCCACTCCCTAACCCACGACCCACCCAGCCATCGACAGAGACCTCCCCCCCCTCACATCTCCCCGCCAACCCACACTCATCTCATACCTGCATAGGTGCCCATATAATCACCCGCCCATCCATTCACACACCAACCCAACTGATCACTCATCCACCAAATAACCTGGCCCACGCTCCAACCTGCCCATCTGCTCACCCGCTCACCTGCTCAACCTGACAACCTATTCACCTGCCCACCGACTCACCCATCCTGCCGATCGCCAACCACCAGGACTAAAACCGTATCCCAAGAAAAAAATGATTTTACAAATGACCATCAGAGATCACGAGGCACAGATGGAACACATTAAGCTGATGTAGATTTGAAACAATTCCAAATTTTGAATTCTAAGACACAGATGCTGAACAAATAAATGTTAATGACTGCGACGAGTATAATTTTTAGGGTTAGACTTCGTGAATATAAATGTCTCGTTAAAGCTGCCACCACCTGACACAGCCAATCAGTAAGGTTTGTCACTTAAATAAAACGTGACAATTAGTTACTACGTCAGCACACCGGTGGTGTATTGGAGAGGAAATCCACAACGATGACAATTCGAGTATGCCGTATTGCTGGTGATTACAACCAGCTTCATCAGGCAATAGCTAGAATTGTCAAAAGGTAAATGCTGTGTGTTTACTCTCCAACACACAACCGGTGTGCTATAGTAACTAGTCGGAATGTTCTGTTTAAGTGATAAACTGTAATTCATTGGCTGTGTCAGGTAGTGGCGGGTTTAACGACACTTTTATATTGACGCGATCTAACCCAAAATGAAAAAAATATTACGGATAATATTTCTCGCGAAAGCCGACGTATTACTTTAAAACTTTAATAAGAATTTACAACGTGCAGTTTACTATGAAGAAACCCAGCCTCACCCTATCTGGTGTAACTTGTCTGTGGAAAAAAACATCGCCGTGTTCATGGTTACCATGGGGTTTTAGCAAAATATATAAATTGCGGCTTTTACACCCTGACACTGTGTGTGAATGTAAATCCACGTCTCCACAGGTGAGCAGGGCTGCCGCAGGGAACATTCCAGGGCGCATCTCGTGGTGTTTATAATTTAACTGCAGGTGAAGTCAGGTCGTTTGCTTGTTTATCGTGGCTGCTCTGCGATTTTTTTTTTACATCTAGCTGCGGTGGCTCTGAGATGTTAACTACCTCGCCCGGTATACAGGAGGTCGCGGGTTCGATCCAGACCCTGACGCCTGCTGTATATTTGGAGTCTGCATGTCTCTCTCTCATCATCATCACGGTGGCTCGGAGATGTTAACTACCTCGCCTGGTATACGTGCGGTCGTGGGTTCGATCCCGACCCTGACGCCTGCTGCTGTATATTTGGAGTTTGCATGTCTCTCTTGCCGTGGTCCTGTGGACTTTTCTCTGCTCCCTCCGCTTTCCCCTCGACATTTAGGATCCACATCGCGCGTTTAGAGTTTTTTGCTGAGAAAAGCCACTTCGCTGGGCTTTCATTTGTGACCAGGTCGCCTTTGGAAAAAAGAGCTACGCAGCTCAGTGGACCTTACCTTGTGAAATTTGTATTTATTTATCGAATCTGCCAAACTCAGCGAGTCCATTATTTAAAATGTCAACTTTGACAAGAATAGGTGATGAAGACCTTTTTTGTTTACGTGATGTTGATTTTAAACATTGAGCAAGATTTGTTTATGCATATTAGGAAAATGTACAGTGATAGTCATACCGATATTGAGCTTAAACGAACGACGATGTTTTGTTCAGCCAGAGGCTGTTACCTGTGATAATGCATACAACCACCGTCCACCCAGAATAAAACGGTGTGGTAGGAATAAAAAAAAACTGAAACATATTTGACAGATGAACAGAGGACGCATGAAGCCTGTAGTTAAAATATTAGCTGATAAAGGTAGAAGACGATTACAGACTGCGAACCTTAAAAAAGGCCTTGCAAGAAAAAAATGGATAAAGACACAGATGGGGAAAAAAACAAGTTAACCTTAACATCAGAATGTTTCCACAAGGTGCGGTTCCATTGTGCAATGCACACAGCCTGACCTTAGCCGGTCAATCAGCCTGTGGGACAAACCATTATCGCTGCGTCCCTGGCTGCTGCTGCTGGATTTTGTTTGTATAAAAATTATATCACTTGAGACCGGTCAAAGCTATGTATGTATGTATGTTGAACTTCTTCCACACCGTACGTAGCCAACCGTGCTAATCGGAAGTGCAGGGGAACGACATATAAACACAAAAAGCAATTTTAGCTAACACAGTGCGTGACTGTAACGCCATGTCTACACAGGTGAGCCCAGCCGCCGTGTGGAACATTCCAGGGCGTGTCTCGAGGTATTTATAATTTAGCTGCAGGTGAAGTCAGTTAATTTTCTTTTTCGTCTCCGCTGTGTGAGCAGCTGCTGCGATAGCTCCTCTGTGAGCCGCGGCGCGCGACTGAGTCCAAGTGAAGCCATGGGCCATGGCGAGCGCGTCTCCCAGTGATTGTGTCGACAGTGAGCTGAGTTGCCCCATCTGCCTGGGCACGTTTGACTGCCCCTCCACGCTGAGCTGCGGAGACTCGTTCTGCCTCCGGTGTCTGGACGGTGCCTGGGAGACGGCGAGCAGCTTCAGCTGCCCGCAGTGCCGAGCGGCCTTCCCTGAGCGACCCCAGCTGAAGAGGAACGTGGCGCTCGCCAACCTGGTGGAGCAGCTCAGAGTTGGAGAGAGGATGGCCGGAGTTGTCTTTTGTGACTGTTGTGGTGATGGGGAGACTCCTGCAGTGAAGACCTGCCTCAGGTGTGAGATGTCCCTGTGTGAGTCCCACCTGAAGCCTCACATGATTAACCCCAAGTTGAAGGACCATGGCCTGGTGGCTCCCATTTTGAACCTAGAAGAACGAAGATGTGCGGAACACAATGAGCATCTCCAATTTTACTGTGAACAGGATGGGAGCCTGGTCTGTATGGTCTGCACTTTTGCAGGAGACCACACAGGACACAAGGTCATCACGGTGACAAAAGCTCAACATGCTAAACAGGTGAGAAATCATTTACTGCTGTAACCCACCCTCCTCTCGAGTTACTACAGCTTGTGTCTCTGCATTGTTACTTTAAAAAGTCTGTTTTTTATTTATATGGATTTCAATATAATTGATGATGACGATGGTGATGATGAAGTGAATGTTAAGCACTGCACGTTCACCTGCCTCACACAGAAGGAGCTGAGGCTCAAGAAGATGGAGAGAGAGAAGATTAAGGGGTCGGCAGTGTCACAGACACAGCAGCTCAAGGACACGTACAAGCACATGCAGGTATAGCTCGAGACGCAGTGACAAGTATGCCAGAGTGGACTCGCACATTGCCGCCTTTTTCCCGTGAACGATGTTTCTAACGGTTTCACCAGAGTGGCTTTTGGCGTGGGAGGGGGACGTCGTGCCCAACATTGAGGGCACAAAAAACCAGAAGTGATATGCTTGTAAAGGTTCAGTCGGTCTATTTCCCACTCTCACCGACCTTAAGGGATAGTCTCGTGTGATGCTATATACAGCAAACCTACAGTTAAATAAACACGCAGTGGCAAAGGAAACAACACACTCTGAATGCGACCATCTAAACGAAACCTGATCCTACGGTCTCAAGGCCATCCATCACAACGGTTTCCTTGTTCTAACAATCAAACGATGTGAATAAGGTATTGACACAATATTTAGAGGTCAATGCGTCAGTCAACGCCACATGCCATCACCACCTCGAGCCTTTAACTGGTTCGTATCGTTAATGTAAGTCATGTAATTTACATTGATTATAAGCAACGTACATTATGCAAATGGTAATTACCATTTGAATAACCCAACCGACGACAATGGATACCCATTGTAATGGTTATGTATTCATTAACTCCCCCCCCCTTCCTTCGCACAAGAAGGCTCACAAGTGATGTCATCACATCTATCCCTCTATTTAAGGAATGAAAAAGAAGGATTTCTCCACAAATCTGATTGTCGCCTTATTAAGCTAGTTGTAATTACTGGCGAAACATCGTACTCAGATTGTAAATGTTGTAACCAATTGGCATGTTCTGTTTCCGTAACAAACCTTACTAATTGGCTGTGTCGGGTGGTAGCAGGTTTAATGACACATTTCTATTTATGCGATCTAACCCAAAAACTATATTATGAATATTGGTCGCGAAAACGTAGGTGTTAAACATTTGCAAGTTATTTTGCGGCCGACTGGAATGCTCTTCCTTCTGCTATTAGGAAGGCACTGGAGCCAAGTACTTTTAAATCATCTAGATGAGTGGTTCTTAAACTGGGGTGCACACACTCCCTGGAGGTGCGAGCTGCCCTTCGTTGGGGTGCGGGACATGCCAGATTTTTTTAGAAGGTAAATTATCGAAATACAAAGCCCCTCATGAATGGTTCAAAATACCAAAATCAAAGAACCTCGCCTGGACAAGGGATACTGGGACACCCCCCCTGGAGCCAGTCCTGGGGGTGGTGTTTGCTGGCCAGCGCCTGGTGGCTGGGTGACCCACGTAACCCGGTTGGGTCCAGCCCGATTGGCTACATGGCGCCGTCCTGTGGGCCCAGCATTCACAGGACGAAGGGTGAGTGGCAGGTGCGATGCCAGCATGACGGGGAGAGGGATGGTCTCAGACGGGCTGAACCTTGGCAATCGACACTCGCTATTGGGACGTGGAATGTCACATCACTGGGGGAGGAACCAGAGATGGTGGAGGAGGTGGAAACGTACCGACGAGATAGAGTCGGTCTCACCTCCACACACAGCATTGGCATTGGAACCAAACTACTTGATCGGGGGTGGTGTCTTTCCGATTCTGCAGTACCCCTGGTGAGTGTGGAGATACTCACAAACCCACGGCTGGGTGCTCTTCAGTTGGAGTTTGTCCCAGTGGAGGAGAGATTCGCCTCAATGAGACTTCGGGTCTCAGAAAGGACAATTCTGATTGTTGTCTGTTCTTATGCATCAAATAGGAGTTCAGAGTATTCGGCTGGCTTGGAGATGGTGGGTACAGTGCTCGACAGTACTGCCTACCAACACCATCGTCTTACTGGCGACTTCAATGGTCACTTGGGAAACGATGGAAATACCTGGAGAGGCATGATTGGGAGGAATGCTGATCTGAGCCCGACTGTGAGATGTTATTGTAATTCTGTGCTAATCACGGAATTTCAATAACAAACACCATGTTCGAACACAAGGATGCTCATAAGTGTACTTAGTACCACAGAACCTAAGGCCGAAGGTAGTTGTTCATAGTTGTATCATCGGACCTAAGGCCGTATGTTCTGGACACTTGGATGAAGAGAGGGGCAGATGTGTCAACTGATCACCACCAGGTAGTAAGTGGGATCCGACACTTGGGGCAACGACATAGAAGGCCCAAATGAATAGTGTGGGTTTTCTGGGAACGTCTGGCAGAAGACCTAGTGCAGAGAGATTTCAACTTCCACCTCTGGGAAACTTCTCCTGCACCCCAGGGGAGGTGGTAAAAAATGAGTCCGAGTGGACAATGTTCAGGACCTCGATTGTGGATGCAGCTGCGAAAAGCTGTAGCCTGAAGGCAGTTGGTGCCTGTCCTGGCGGGAACCCTTGGATCCGCTAGTGGATACCAGTGGTGAAGGAGGCTTTCAAGTTGAAGGAGGCTTTCTGAGCTTTGCCCAGAAAAAGGTTACCCAATTCTAATGAGAGGTACCGGCTTGCCAAGAGGGCAGCAGCTGTTGCAGTCCCTGAAGCAAAAGCCCAGGCATGGGCGGTTCCCATTTTTAAAAAAAGAGGACCAGAGGGTCTGCTCCAACTACAGAGGAATCACACTCTTCAGTTTGACAAGTAAAGTTTTTGCCTGAGTGCTGGAGGTAAGGCTCCAGCCAGGTGGTCGAGCCTCAGATTCAGGAGGAACAATATGGATTCCGTCATGGTTGTAAAAAAATGGACCAGCTCGTTTTCCTTTCACAGATGTTTGAGTGGTCATGGGAGTCCCTCTCCAGTCTACATCTGCTTTGTAGATTTGGAGAAAGTATATAACCGTGTTCCCTGTGTAATGGGTTCTGGAGACACTTGTAGAGGTAACTTTTTTATTACAATACAACACTCCAACAGTCCTGATACTCTGTTACAGCCTAGGTACACAGCCTAGATACACTACTCTGGCTATGCTCTGGGGTCCTCCGGCTACAATTACCCTAGGGGAGGCTAATCTGACCCGACCCAGCCAAGGTGCAGGTCTGGACTCTGGCTTCCTCGGAACTCGCCCTTACACCACTGGCCCTCGATCGGCCAGGGAGCTGCCCTTTTATGCCTCGTCCCGAACGAGGGGTGGGGTTGTGTGCGCCCCCAGGTATCCCACAGAGCACACACAGCCCCCCCCCCCCCCCCCCGTTGGTGGCGCCAAGGGGCTTAAGCGTCTGGGTTGCCTGGGATCCTAGCGCCTGGCGCCGAGGCTTATCTGTATAGGGTCCCAGAGCCCCCACCAGCCCCTCCCCTCTTATGGCACTACACCTGCAATGTCCAGTGGGAGGTGCTGCGGGATGTGATGTACTGGTGCTGCTTTTGTGTGCTCTCTGGACCCTCTATTCCTGGAGTGAGAGCTCTGTCCATATCCTCGGTGTTAAATCAAAGTAGTTCACTGTGGGTTTTGGACTTTGCCAAGGGTGCGTCTTGTCTCCACTAATATTTGTGATTTTTATGGACAGGATATCAGGGCGCAGTTGAGGTATGGAGAGTATACAGTATGGGGGCATGGAGGTGGTGTCGTTGCTTTTTGCAGATGACGTTGTCATGGTACATAAAATACAGAATTGAATATCTGGTACAAAATATGTATTACCGAAGCTATCAACAGAATGTGTGAAAGGTTTAACTGCACGTGTGGTAAATGTTATGTTGAACAAACAGGACGAATGTGTTAACGAGACTAAAAGAACATCAGAGAAACATTAAATTATCCCAAATGCAACTGTCTGCACTAGCAGAACATGCGTGCCAACAAGGACACTCAATTGATTTTGATCATGTTGAAGTTTTGTGCAAAACTAGCTACTACTGGCCAATACTAATAGAGGATCTATCGAAATTGAAAGAAATCAAAATAACTTTAACCGTTAGGATAGCTACCGTCTTAGTACTGCGCGGAAGCGAATCAATAGGGATTACCATTGGTAGGGCTATTTTAATAAACACAATAGACAGGAAAGAAAAGTTCAAAGGGCTCGCAAAATGCACATGCATAATGAACGTTGCCTCAGTAATCCCTCTCCTCCCACATTGTGCAAGAGCGCAGAAGGGTGGTCAACACATCTACGCCTCTATATAAGGAACGAAACAGTAAGACTTCTCCACAAATCTGGCTGTCGCCTGATGAAGCTAGTTGTAATTACTGGCGAAACGTCGTACTCAGTTTGTAAATGTTGTGGCTTGGCTCTCCAACACACCGGTGTGCTGTACTAGTGACGAATTGGCATGTTCCGTTGACGTGACAACCCTAATAGTTGGCTGTGTTGGGTGGTGGTGGGTTTTAACGACACATTTATATATTTACGCGATCTAACCCAAAAACCTCTTATGGATGATATTGGTCGCGAAAGCCTTCATGTTAAACGTTCATGTAACTACAAGTACTCTGTTTAATATACATTATAACATATTTTAACAATTGGGAATCAAAGGGGTGCAAGGCTGCAATAAAGGTTAAGAACCACTGATCTAGATTGAAAACTCATTCTTTAAAATTGCTTTTTGTGTTAGGTTCGTTGTCCTTCCTCCGCACCTCCCATTAGCGCGGTTGCCTATGTACGGTTCGAAAGAACTTTTACATCCATACATTCATACAAAACTTGCCTCCATGGTGCTCGATTGCGAGCCACATGCATAGCCACCACCGATATGAAGATATCAAACTGTTTCCAAACAGCGTCGTGGTTGCAATCTACAGGGTGGTCCAGCTGTCTCGTGATCCACATTTAATTCTGTAAGACTTTACATTTTTTTAAAGGTGTATTTAAAACATAAATGAAAATGCAAAGGAAAGAAAATGTTAGGGGTACTTTAATTGGGAGTCACCAGACCACCTTGCAGATCACTCAATTGGTGTTAGCCGCTGAGGTCGTGACAAGTTTCATTTTCATTCCTGTTGCTCCGTGCCCCCTGTACAATTCCCGTTCTGCTGTAATGTGCACTGATGCCTACTTTGAGGGCGATATTGGTATGTAAAAACACATTCCCGCGGAGGGAGCTGATAGGAACGTTGGGTTGCTCGGTCAATGGCCAGGGTCAAAGACGGCGTGGTATATTCCGCAAATATGCCCGACTGTGAGGGCGGGCACAAGCCGGTGTGAGTAGCTTAAACGTTGAGTTTTATAAGGGCACCACGGGGTGACCAGCCCCTCCCCACCCAGCCCCACCCCTCCCACCCCCCACCCAGCCCCACCCCTCCCACCCCCCACCCAGCCCCACCCTCCCCACCCAGCCCCTCCCTACCCTCCCCACCCAGCCCCTCCCCACACTCCCCTCCCTCCCCACCCAGCCCCTCCCCACCAAGCCCCTCCCTGCACGACAGACGGACGGACACAATAATCCCCTGTGGGCTGGTAGAACCAGTGGGTTCCTACCAGTATAAAGATTGATTGATTGGTTGTGAGAGTCTGCTGTTGGCCCAGAATGAGAATATGTATTTATAGTGGAGAAATCCGATTAGCTGTACAGCTCCTTTTCAGAGATGTCAGTAGTTTACACAGCTGTCCAGTAGTTTTCTCAGATGTCAGTAGTTTTCACAGATGTCCAGTAGTTTTCACAGATGTCAGGAGCTTACACAGATGTCAGTAGCTTACACAGATGTCCAGTAGTTTTCACGTATTTCAGAAGTTTTCACAGATGTTCACACCCCTTCCATTAGTCCCCACAAGTCGCCACTTGGCCCGTAACCACCACCTCCAAGATCTTTGCTGTCCCCCAACCGGCAAATCTTAACAAAAAAAATGAGATGAAGGAAACGCCCACTGTCAACTATCACCATCTGATTGCGCCAAAGAGACTAAGAGCACATTTGACAGATTCACAGCCAGGGATGGAAGTCCAACTTGCTCCCCGAAAGTCCCGCCATGCTCGCTCTCGCTGCTTGCTAGAGCCATGTCAACGGTTGCTGGAGAGGTGCTGAGAAATTAGATAGAGGAGTAGTTGACCTGCCTCATCGCATGAAAGCTTTCCATATAAACCCAATGTGCCACGGCCAGTGGCCACCCTCCCGGATCTACATCAGCTACGACCAGTTATAACTAAAATTATGACAAATAATAGGTTTTATCCTTTATAGTAATAAAACAAGCGTAGAGATGTTCAAACGCTAATTGGATATATTTTACAAGCCATATTTTTTGCAATAACCACACATACTTGTGGCAAAACTTGCAAACAAACATGCTCTGATAATATTATAATATATGGCTTTGTCTTTGAAACTGATTGTCCTACACCAGAGACAGCCTTCTTTTGTGGCCTTGTCTCACCAGTGTTAGACCAGAGAACACCAAAATGTGAACAGTACAATGCATATATAATTATCAGAGCATGTTTGTTTGCATGCATGTGTTGTCACAAGAATGTGTGGCTAATGCAAACTTGATGCCTTATAAAAGGTATCTATTTGGTGTTTGAACATCCTAACACCTGTTCTATTGACGGAAAGGGTCAAAGTTGTTATTACACGCTTTTATTTAACTCACTGTCTGTTGTTGTCGTTGTCGTATCCTCAAATCTTGTAACTCAATTTTAACCCACTTCCCAATGTGGTATCGACTGCAAACTTGGTATACTTATGTCATACTGATGACACTACTATATTCTATTAAACAAAATAAAAAAAAAGTATTTTTAAACATTATTTTTTCTATGTTATGTTTCGGCTTGGGTCTAATTGTCCACGCTCAACTGACGTTGGCTGTAAATCACCACGGTGCCTTACGTTATGGCAAGCTTTGCGGCCACTTCTTGGAGTCGTCGAGTTCTGCCATTACGAGTAGGGTACATTTCATTAAAGCGTGTTTAAAAAAAAAGAAGTATTTTTAAATATTACTTTTTTTATACTGGCAAAAAGGTCCCATAGATACAGCTATACCGAGCCTACTCTAAATGCATTCACATATTAATGAGCCTGTAGCCAGCACTGGCCAATACACGCATCTGACTAGTCAGCTATACCAATACCCGACATTCGCCACTAAGTGACAGTGATGACACCAGTGCACCTGTGCCAGGCCAGGTGCACTTTGAGGCCACATGAAGTGTCGAAGGCTCGCTGACAGGTCTCGGGACACACCCAGGTTGATGGCTGACTGAGATGACCAGTCGATGCACCATCTGCACCCCCTACTGTGCCAACTTGCTATATTTTTGCCGCCCGGCGCTGCATTCATTGTTGTGAGTGTCGCTCCACTGCCCTCCATTGTTGCTGGAGGGCGACTGACTACAACTGCCCAGTAGCATCCTTCACGAGCCTCCTCAGCTATACCCCACCACACACAGTTAACCAAATAAAAATACAACAACCTGGTGAACAAACTAGTACATTAAGTTCATGACACACAGAGAGACATTTAGATATCGAGACACAGAAACGTGGAATTACAGATAGACACACAGACACATATAGGTACAGCCAGACACATACAGTACCATGTGAGTGATTCAACAACTCATGATCATCCCCTTCTGCGTAGGAGTCTTTGCGTGGGATGAAAGCGAGGATCAGCCAAGAGTTTGAGCGGAAGAGGCAGCAGCTGAATAAGGAGGAGAGGGAGGCGCTGGAGCACGTGGACGAGGAGGGCCGCTCCGTGCTGTCCCGGATCCAGGCGAACATCGCTCTCTATGAGAACAGAGCTCGTGGCCTGGAGCAGGAGATCAACGAGCTGATCGTGGCCCTCGCAGTAAAGGACCCACTCACCTTTCTGCAGGTGACGAGGCATCCCTGATTCCACAACTTGACATAACCCAAGTGGAATGTTAAACCAATCCACTTGGATGTTTATCAATGTGAGAGGAAAATGAAGTACCCAGATAGAAGACCTTCCCTTGCATTAGCAGATCCTCAAATCATTGATGTAACGATTGGTTGATTACGCAGACGTGTGAAACTCCAAAACCAAGCGATCTGCAAAGTTACTCGGGGATTGCAGTATAGAAAGTCGGTTGTGAATCTACCTGTTTACACGCTAAAGTGCTATCTCTCATGTATATTGGGGTTTTCTTTAAGAATTAATTTCCATCCCCGTGCAAATTCCTCCTCTCACAGTGGAAATGGCCAAACTTCACAATGCGGGACTAAAAAAAGTAAAAAAAGGGGTTGAGACCCTGGAGGGCCTTCCTTGATAATTACCGGCGCCTAAAACTTAGATTCAAACTCAAAAACTCAGTAGTAGGCGCTCGGCACTCTTACCTATGACCTAGCCAGCCACCACATTATTCTGAACCTGATATAACTATAACACGTTGTTGTGTTTCCTTTTCATTCAAAACCTTATTACTGGGCTAGAAGAGTCATGTGATATGGCCCAGTGATAGCATGTTTATTATAACTCTTTGCAGAAGTTGCAGGGACAACCCTGATTAACACTGCAGGTGTATTAACATATAGAAGACAACAAGAAATTATTTTGACGCCCAAAAAGCCTATCCAGTTCAGGACACCCTATTCAATAGCCAGATATTGTTATCCCGTATCGTGATGTCAATCTATCCTGACAACAGGAAATGAGTGTGTGGAAGAAGAGGAGGAGATGTTGGTGATGGAGTGAATATTTTTTATTGACATGAGTTGCACAATTGTGTCTTTCAGGATCCCAAGTACGAGGAACTCAGGTCAGTACCAGAGAGACGTGGACCCTCATTAGTATTTGTATCTCACGCTGTGTGTAGACTGTAGATAGACATGGACATTGACTATTCTGCTTATCCTGTGCTGTGTATACAGTGAGACTAGGAATCTCATTATACTATGTTAGAATCTGGGTGGGAGATGGGTAAATATAATTGACGTCATCACCTCATGGGAGATGAACGTTCATGCCAGCACACGGATGGCAAATTACAGAATGTGTATGTATGTTGATCTTCTTTCCACCGTATGTAACCAACCGTGCTAATCGTAGGTGCATGGGAAGGATAACAAACAACACAAAAAGCAGAATAAATGGTAGCACCCTTGTTGCTGCCATCTACCACCCACATCCTGACCTCTTTGTGACCTTCATCAGGCAAGGCCTTTGCTCTCAAGTGCTTCGCCATAAGTGATGGCACATGGACAAGAACCGTCACAATTGGTAATGCGACGGTCATGAATGTACATCAGCCCCTGAAATACGAAATGGCCATCACCACCTCTACTAGCAGTCACTCACCCGGCTATAGATGTGGGGTGACTTCAACAGCCACCACCCACAAGGGGGGTACTCAGTAAATGATGAAGCCGGAGAGTCAAGAAATGCTCATTGGCACAAGACACTTTCCTTTCGTGTGACCCTAAACAACCTGGCACGATTCACTCAGCCCGATGGATAAAGAACAAAAACCCCGAATTATGCTTCTTGTCAGCTCCACTCATTGTTTCGCGAACAATTATTGGCAATTTTCAGAAGAGCCAACAAGGGGCAGCAATCACGACCAGTGGACAACTGATATCAGTCATAACCTCAACATGACGGCTGCATTGAAAGCCAACTGAAGCCCGGGCTATGAACAATAAACCGAAGCTGATTTGAATAACCTGCAACCAAAGCTTGGGAATTTCAATATATTGAAAACAATTATGACATATGCGAGAGGAAAAAAATCCTGATAGGGCATTGGAAAAGCTATATGCCATGTTGGCAATCAAAACCAGAGCAATTCTTGAAAGAGTTAATCAGAACTACATCATGGGACCTCCCCTTTGCCAGTCCCAAAATATGATAATATGTTTTTTCCCTTTTTTCTGGCAACAAAACAGGTGTTAAGATGTTAAAACACAAAACTGAAATCCTTTAACAAGGAATCATGTCTGCATTAACCACAATGCTTGTGGTCAGAATGCAAACAAAAAACATACTCTGATAATATATGCATTGTCCTTGAAACTGATTGGTCCACACCAGAGACAGCTTTCTTTTGAGCCTCGTCTCAAACAGTGTTCGACCAGAGGACGCCTTAACACCTATTTTGTTGTCAGAAAAAAGGGGAAAACCCTATTATCTAATCAGAACTGGTGACCAAGATAAGGGCACCACACTGCCAGAGTTCCTGAACTTTGCACAACGAAAATGATGGGAAGACATCACGACAAACGTGGACTTCACTCACTCCAGCTGTAAAGCCTGGAAGCTCTAAAATCTAGGTGCCTCAAAACAGACTCCAAACACCGCAGCAAATCCGGTGCCTTCCTACAAGCTGACCTGCTCAAAGGCACCAATCGACGATCTCATCAAATAAGCTGTCTGGAAACAACTCACCATCTCCATGCGTCAACTACCACATGCAACAGATCTAACCAGGCCGTACACTGCAGCTGAAGTGGAAGCATCCTTCAGGGCTGCAAAGTCCAACAAGGCACAAGGATATGGATGGCCTTTATCCTGCATTCCTAAACCTGGGACGATATCGACAACAATGGCTGGCAAACCTCTTCACCGTCATGCACAGGACATGCAAAATCCAAAACAAGGGATGCCAAAGTCATCGCCATTCTGAAAACCCGGAAAGCCTCAAGACTTTCCCTCCAGTTTAACACGTAGGCTTTTGCGACCAATCTCATCCATTCATCCATAAGAGGTTTTTTGGGTTAGATCGCGTAAATATATAAATGTGTCATTAAAACCCGCCACCACCTGACATAGCCAACTAGTTAGGGTTGCCACGTAAACAGAACATGCCAATCTGTCAATATTTACAATCTGAGAATGACGTTTCGCCAGTAATTACAACTAGCTTCTTCAGGCGACAGCCAGATTTGTGGAGAAGTCTAACTGTTGCATTCCTCATATAGAGGCGTAGATGTGGTGGCATTTGTGTAAAGAGTGGAGAGGTGTCCATACCTGGGCAGTGTGCTTATGACCAGCTCCAGTTTGACAGCAGAGGTAGCACTTCAGCTGCATAACCCTGTGTGGAATCTGACTGGTGTTTCGCTCCATACGAAGCTTCGGGTCTTCTCGGCTACGGTCATGCCCTCCATTTTCTATGCTTGTGAAGCATTGACTCCTTTGATGGAATGCCTGCCCCAGTTAGAAACATTCAGGCTGTCCTGACGATGATGCATCCTGGGTATAACCATTCTGGATTATGTGAGGAACTCACAAATCCCTGAAAGATCTGGGCAGAGTCCCATCGGTGAACTCCTCCTCAAGGCAAGGCTGCGTTGGCTGGGGCATGTAGGTTGTATGCTCAGCCACCGCATGCCCAAACGGGCGTGGCACAGGATAGAGAAGAGATGGACTAATGTGGTACAGGAGAATATGGAGATGAGTGGTATTAACGGTGTCTGGTTCCAGTGATGTTAAGATCGACCTCTGTGCAGGAGAATCATGAGGGACGCTACTCGGCAGTCCAACAACAACGGAGGGCAGAGGATCGGCGCTCACAACAATGAGTAGATAAAACACAGCAAGTCGGATCAGTAGAGGACACAGGTGGGGTTATCTGCCAGTTCTCTTAGTCACCCATGGCACCTGCTAGGTCTGTCCTGCGCCCTTCTGACAGCGAGTCTTTGATACTTCACGTGGCCTCAAAGTGCACCTAGCCTGGCACAGGCATCGTAGTGACATCACCACTTAGTAGTCAATGTCGGCTCTTGTTATTATGGAGAGACCTTGCCCCGCACTGTTCCGTGTGCTCTGTGTTTAGTTTGCAGAGAGACCTGGGCCTGCATTGTTCTGTGTGCCCTGTGTTGTGTGTAGAGAGACCTGGGCCTGCATTGTTCTGTGTGACCTGTGTTTAGTGTGTAGAGAGACTTGGGCCTGCATTGTTCTGTGTGACCTGTGTTGTGTGTGTAGAGAGACCTGGGCCTGCATTGTTCTGTGTACCCTGTGTTGTGTGTGTAGAAAGACCTGGGCCTGCATTGTTCTGTGTACCCTGTGTTGTGTGTGTAGAGAAACCTGGGCCTGCATTATTCTGTGTGCCCTGTGTTGTGTGTGTAGAGACCTGGGCCTGCATTGTTATGTGTACCCTGTGTTGTGTGTAGAGAGACCTGAGCCTGCATTGTTCTGTGTGCCCTGTGTTGTGGGAGCAGAAACTCGGTATCTCAGGAGACTCAAGGTGGCCCTGCTCCCACATTCAGCCAGCAGGAGCTCACAAAGGTCATCTCAGCAGGAGGAGTCGAGATGAGACTCCTGGCTCTCCTGTGTATGTAGACACATTCATATGTAGCTCAAACACACACACACAGATGAGTGTAAATCACTGTAACATGAGCTCTATTAACACTACACGTGGGTATGATTGAGGATGCTGTTGAAATTCTTCATGTATGAATTCATTACACGCACACACATGATATGGCTAAGATTATTCAGATTCATTATTCGTAATTGAGGCTGCAAGATCCAAACTCGCACACCTTGATGATCCTTAGAGTTCAGTGTTAATGCCTGAAGCTCTCAGACTCCAAGGCACCTTTAGGATTCTGTATTAATATTCGGAGGTTTATCAGACAGTCAGCCAAACGCTTAACCTTGGTTGATCGTGTACGTCACTATACGAACAAAAATATGAATTACTATAGAACGTGTATCAATATACATTAATATGTAGCACAAAGACAAAGATCCCCCATATAGCCTTAAGAGACTGTAGGGGCAAGTGCTGTTAGCGAGCACCTATGAAGGCCAGAACGGTACACGAGGGGGTGGGTGGCCAGCACCACGCCCGACCGCCTTTGTTTCCCTAGTGGCAATGTTTACACACCGCACCAGGTACTCATTTGAGGCTGAGTCGACCTAGGGGAGGCCCGGAACCGGTTTAGATAATCGTCACTGGTGTTGGCCGTGAGCGGGAATCGAACCCGGGTCGCTGGGTTCATAGCGCAGCGCACTAACCGCTACACTATTGCTTCCCACAATAGTTAGTGCACACACACAGAGACGAATGTAAATCACTATAACATGAGCTCTATTAACACTACACGTGTGTACGATTGAGTGAGGATGCTGTTGCTATTCTGCGTGTGAATCTTTGACGCACACACACGCTATGGCTAATATTATTAGGATTCATTATTAGTGCTTGAGGCAGGGAGATCCAGACACCTTGAGGATTCTCAGGGTTCAGTGTTACAGCTTGAAGCTCTCAGAATCAAAGGCAACTTTAGGTTTATTTAGACAGCCAGACCAAGGCATAACCAGAGTTGCCGTGTAAATAACTACACAGGCAACAACAAGTTAATTACAAAAAAACACGTATCAACATATTGATACGTTTATATAGACAGAAATCCCTCGTATGGCCTTAACAGAATGTTGGGGCAAGTGTTGTTAAAAAGCTCCTATGAAGGGGTGGGTGGCCAGCACCACGCCCGACCGCCTTTGTCTCCCCAGTGGCGATGTTTAAACACCGCAGTCATCACTACACTATCACACACACACACACGAGTGTACATCACTACACTATCACACACACACACGGGTGTACATTACTACACTATCACACACACGAGTGTACATCACTACACTATCACACACACACACGAGTGTACATAACTACACTATCACACACACGAGTGTACATCACTAAACTATCACACACACACACACGAGTGTACATCACTACACTATCACACACACGAGTGTACATCACTACACTATCACACACACACGAGTGTACATCCCTACACTATCAAACACACACGAGTGTACATCACTACACTATCACACACACACGAGTGTACATCACTACATTATCACACACACGAGTGTACATCACTACACTATCACACACACACACGAGTGTACATCACTACACTATCACACACACGAGTTTACATCACTACACTATCACACACACACGAGTGTACATCACTACACTATCACACACACACACACGAGTGTACATTACTACACTATCACATACACACACACGAGTGTACATCACTACACTATCACACACACACACACGAGCGTACTTTACTACACTATCACACACACGAGTGTACATCACTACACTATCAACAACAACCGCCATTCGCCACTAAGTGGCGGTGACATCACCACGACGCTTGTGCCAGGCCATGTGCACCTTGAGGCCACGTGAAGTGTCGAACGTCCGCTGACAGGAGGTCACGGGGCAGACCCAGGTGCCACGGGTCGACTGACTGAGATGACCGAGATGACTGGCTGATGCACTACCTGTGCCCTCTACTGTGCCAACTTGCTGTGCTTTATCCACCCGGCGCTCCGCTCGTTGTTGTGAGCGTCGCTCCACCGCCCTCCGTTGTTGTTGGAGGGCGACTGCCTCCAACTGCCCAGTAGCGTCCTTCACGAGCCTCCTCCACAGAGGCCGATCTTGACACCGCTGGTACCAGTCATCGGCAAGTCAACTCAGCTCCACGTCCTCCTGTACCACATCACTCCATCTCTTCTCTAGCCCATGCCGCGCCCGTTTAGCCCCCTCGATCCGGCCGAACAAAAGCTGTTTAGGCATGCGGTGGCTGGGCATGCGGGCTACATGACCCAGCCAACGCAACCTTGCCTGCCGGAGGAGCTCACCGATGGGACTTTGCCCAAATCTTTCAAGTATTTGTGAGCTCCTTACACAATCCAGCCTGGTTAAACCCAGGATGGATCGTAGGCAGGCCAGCCTAAATGTTTCCAACCGGCGAAGATGCTCCATTAGGGGGGTTCACGTTTCGCAAGCGTAGAGAAGGGAGGGAATGACTGTGGCCGAGAAGACCTGAAGCTTCGTGCGGAGCGACAGACCAGGTTGCTTCCACACAGCGTTACACAACCTCTGCTGTTAAACTGGAGCCGGTCATAAGCACACTGCCCAGGTATGGGAAACTCTCCACTCTCTCCACTACTGCCCCATCACCGATTGTGAGTTGTGGGGGTGGAGTGTCCGATGGTACAAAATACCCAGGCAGGTGCTTAGTTTTGGTGGGGCTGATGGTAAGGCCCCACCTCTTAGTGGCACGCTCCAGTCTCAGCAGCAGCATCTCCAACTCCTCCTCTGAATAAGCAGCTATTACCAAGTCATCGGCATATATAACGTGGTTGACCAATAGGGAGCCATCCCTTGATCACACCCGGGCATCAATCAGCCTCCCATTATATCTGTACCAAATGGAAATTCCCCCGGTACAGCTATTGAAGGCTTCACGAACTACGTGGTCAAAATACATGTTAAATAATGTGGGAGCCAGAGGACATCCCTGTCGCACCCCAAGGCATACAGGGAAAGGCTCTGACTCCCGGCCACGTAGTTTTACCCGGGCCCGCTCACCATCATGAAGGTCCTTAATGATCGTGAGCAGAGGGTCTGGGACTCCGAAAGCACGAAGAACAACCCAGAGCCCAGGCCTACTGATGGTATCATAGGCCTTGACCAGGTCAATAAAGCAGAGATGTAGGTCTTGTTGGAATTCTCTACACCTCTGCTGTAGCAGACGGACAGAAAATATGGCATCTGTGCAGGACCGCCCTTTCCTGAAACCGCATTGGGGCTCTGCAAGCCTCTATTCAGCGTGACTAGCAAGGCGATGTTGAATAATCCTTGCCAGGACCTTTCCCGGCACACTGAGGAGTGAGATGCCCCTGTAGTTGTTACAGTCTGTGCGGTCCCCCTTCTTAAAGAGGGGGACCACCAGGGCATCCTTCCAATCTTACGGAACCCGTCCAGTGGTCCAGACTGTTGTTATGATGTCATATAGGGCAGTCTGTGCACAAACGCCACCCTCCCTCAGCATTTCGCTTAGGAGATCATCTCTGCCCGGTGCCTTTCCTGGTCTCAGACTCCGGATCGCCTTCAGTACTTCCTCAACAGATGGCACCTCAGCCAGCCACTCACAGGGGGTGACTACTTCAAATATTTGAGGCACCGCAGCCTCACCAGGGTTATCCCCACTTTGTGCCATGATGTGTTCCTGGCTGAGGGATTTTCCCTCCCCCAGGACCTCACAGAAATGCTCAGCAAATCTGCAAACCTGTTCCTGGGGGTCGGAGATTGGATCACCGTTTTTTCCCCTAATGATGATAATAGGTGTGGCGCTGCAGGTTACTTTTTTGATGGAGTTAAATAGTCATTTGTGATCGCGGGCCACTGAGGCAGACTCCATTTCCTCAGCAACCCGCGACCACCACCCATCCTTGCAGTGCCTTACGGCTCTCCGAACCTCCGAGCGAAGGCTGCGGTAAGCCTCCTCATTCTCTGACGTGGGATGCTGTAGCCGATGAGAGTGGGCCTGTCGCTTTTTCTCAACTAACCTGAACACCTCCACTGTCAGCCAGGGTTTCTGGGGAGGTCTGGACCGCGTACCCAAAGCAGCCATTGCAGCTGCATGAGTCACATTCCTAAACCTCGCCCATTTACCCTCGACATCAGGAGGAGTGGAGTACGATGCCAACCCCAGCTGCAAGCGATGATGAAATTCTCGCTTGCAACTTTCATCAGCTAACTGAGACCAGACCACTTTAGGTTGGAATGGGGTCCTCGGTGTACACCCACCACCGGAGTGGAAGAATGGCAGGCGCATCTTACTGATGACTAGTCGATGGTCAGAGGGCAGATCGGCTCCATGGTAGGTCCTGGTGTCAAGGACATGGGCTCGCATCCGCTGCTCCGTTACTATGTAGTCCAGCAGATGTTCTTGCTTGGACGCGGCATGCGTCCATGATGTTGTGTGGATGCGCCGATGCCGGAAGAACGTGTTGGTAATTACAAGCTCATGGGCTGCACAAAAATCTAGCAGCCTCCTACCGTTGTTATTGAGCTGATCTGGCCCATGCCTTCCAATCACTCCAGACCAGGTGCCAGCATCATGACCAACTCGGGCATTGAAGTCACCCAACAAGGTGACTGTCCCGAGTGGCCACTTTAACCAGCACCTGTGACAGGAGGTCATAGAAGGCATCTGACTCATCGGCTTTTCCTGCATCCCTCCACGGATGTTCGTCTTCGGTGGGGGCATAAGTAACCACGACCACCACTCCTCGCCTCCGGTTGATGGGAAGGCGAGCCCAAAGTATCCTGGGGCTTACAGCTTCCCACACCTCATCGCCACGCTCCCACGCCCCTTTCATTCTTTTGTTCAAAAGAAGAGGCACACCCTGTTGTTTGGCAGTCTCCTGCCCAGAGTAGAGGACTGTCCACCCCTCATGGTGGCAGGAGCCAGAACCGGTCCACCGGACCTCCTGAATGCCACAGAGATCCAGGCGGTACCGGTCCAGCTCCCGACAAAGGAGTGGCAGCCTCTCCTCCGCAGTGAGCGTTCGAACATTCCACGTGGCCATCCGTAATGGCTTTTTGTTGTTTCTGGAAGAGCCCCGAGGGTGAAGATTCAATCTCCTGGCTCCACCGATTGGGGTTTGGCCTGGAGACGTCTTAGACGCCTGTCCCCCCGGGGCCTCCGGCACAAGCTTATTTGTTACAGGTTTATGTTTAATTCGTAGTTTCGTGGTAATAAATTGAAGGTGAAGGGGTTACCAGCCCCTCGCACCCGTCCATAGCCCCCGTTTAGCCACTGTGGTAGTCACAGACGCCATGAGAGGAGAGGCCAATGAGGCATTGGCCCTCCACCCACAGCACTGTCCACGACAGTGTTGCCCGTCCGGCACCGCGAGGAGGTAGGAGGTTGTTTTGCCGGTATATCACTACACTATCACACACACACGAGTGTACATCACTACACCATCTCACACACACACGAGTGTATATCACTACACTATCATACACACACGAGTGTACATCGCTACACTATCACACACACGAGTGTACATCACTACACCATCTCACACACACACACGAGTGTACATCGCTACACTATCACGCACACGAGTGTACATCACTACACTATCACACACCTCCTGGCACCTCGCAAAGCCCCGCATGGTGCTGGACCTGGGCAGGGCTCGCACGGGCGGCCACCACTACCCTGCCTAGCAGGTGCTACACGCTGCGGGGCCACGTGGCGGGACAGCCACCACCCTGCCTAGCAGGTGCTACAGGCTGCGGAGCTACATGGCGGGTCAGTCACCACCCTGCCTAGCAGGTGCTACAGGCTGCGGGGCCACGTGGCAGGGCAGTCACCACCCTGCCTAGCAGGTGCTACAGGCTGCGGAGCCACGTGGCGGGGCAGCAGGTGGCGGGGCAGACAAACGGACCGCTGTACTGTACTTCTGTGCTCTCGCCAGCTGCGCCGGCTGCCTTTGCCAACGCGTGGTGACCGGCGTGGTGAAGTATGGTCAAATATCCCCCACGACCCGCACGGTGTAGGGAGACCCTCATCCAGCAGTGGATTCACAAAGTGCCCGTGACATGTCATCACACCGATAGCTACGCATTACCACGTTGTATAATAATTATCATTATGAATTGCTCTATTTTAGTGTACGTGCGTGTTAGTGCACGATTGCTATTGTTATAGTGCTGCTGTTGTTACACGGCTACTGTGATTATCGTTACTGCAGACGGACGCTCACCGACTGTGGACCTCAACTCGGCCTACAACAAACTCCAGATTTCCTCGGATCTCAGGACGGTGACGCAGACCGCTGTCTCCCAGGGTCGCCTCGATCACCCACACCGCTTTGATTGGTGGGACCAAGCCCTGTGCTCCGAGAGCTTCTCGTCGGGTCAGCACTACTGGGAGGTGGACGTGGGGGGTGCGGCGGATCACTTTCGGGTTGGAGTCACGTACGGGACGATCGCACGGAAAGGGAGTGGTAAAAAGTGCGAGCTGGGAAGGAACAACTCAGCCTGGGTTTTATATAAATCTTACAACAACTGCTACGTGCTTCATGGTGGTGTCTGGACGTCAGTGCCGGTGATGAAATCTCCCCGGAGAGTCGGGTGTCACCTGAACTGGGAGGCGGGGCTGCTGTTGTTTTACTGCGCCGACTCCATGCAGCTGCTGCACTCGATCCACCACTCGTTTAGTCAACCGCTCTACCCCGCACTGTATGTGTGGGGTGTTGGTTACTCAGTGAGGATTCTGGACCTGAGTCGTGCGTCCTGAGAGCACGGAGTGTGAGCAGCGCACAACGCTCAGACTCACGCACACAAAGACTCAGATCCCCCGTGTAGCCTTCACAGGCTGTTGGGGCAAGTGCTGTTGGCGAGCACCTATGGGGCCGTCCATGAATGACGTCACGCATCTTGAGGGGGGGGTCAGACATTTGTGACGATGGGGGGGGGGGGGGTGTTGGGGAAATGTGACGTCACGTAAAAATGAGTAACTTTAAATAAATAGACAACACGTTCTACTTAGTTAAATAGACTTTTTAATAAATGTTTACTCCCACAACATCAGAGTGCAGCGCCACATTAAATACGCACTACAATGACATTCGTTTAAAGCGATTTGAAGCATGTTTTATATTTTTGGGGGGGGGAACAGAGCTTTGTGACGTCATATTTGAGGGGGGGTCTGACTTTTTGTAACGCCGTGTGACGAAGGGGGGGGGAAGGGTCAAAAATCGCGTGACGTCATTTATGGACGGCCCCTATGAAGGCCGGCACAGCACACTAGGGGGTGGGTGGCCAACACCACGCCAGGCCGCCTTTGTCTCCCCAGTGGTGATGTTTACACACCGTACCAGGAACTCTTTATTCAGGCTGAGTCGACCTAGGGGAGGCCCATGACCGGTTCACCAACACCAGTGACGTTTATCGTAATCGGTCCAGGCTCTCCCCTAGGTCGACTGAGCCTCAAATGAGTACCTGCTGCGACGTGCAAACATCGCCACTGGGGAGACAAAGGCGGGTCGGGCGTGGTGCTGGTCACCGACACACACAGATAGACACAGATAAAGACAAAGAATCCCCGTATAGCCTGAACAGACTGTTGGGGTAAGTGCTGTTAGCGAGCACCTATGAAGGCCGAAACGGTACACGAGGGGGTGGGTGGCCAGCACCACGCCCGACCGCCTTTGTCTTCCCAGTGGCGATGTTTACACACTGCACCAGGAACTCATTTGAGGCTGATCGACCTCGGGGAGGCCCATGACCGATTTACAAACATCATTGATAGCGATTATATGAATCGGTCTTGGGTCTCCCCTAGGTCGACTCAGCCTCAAATGACTTCCTGGTGCGATGAGTAAACATTACCCCTGGGGATACAAAGGCGGGCCTCTCCCAGGATGGCCTTCATAGGTGAAACTCACTGACAGCACTTAACTAAACAGTATTTGAAAGCTATACGGGGGATCTTTGTCTTCGGGTAAGTGAGTTGGGGTGTATGCCTTTGCGTGTCTTTGTTATTGTGTTTGTGTCTTTGTTACTGTCTGCATGTCTTTGTCTTTGTGTGTCTTTGTTATTGTGTTTGTGTCTTTGTTACTGTGTCTGTGCGTGTCTTTGTGCCTTTGTTATTGTGTTTGTGTCTTTGTTACTGTGTCTGTGCGTGTCTTTGTGCCTTTGTTATTGTGTTTCTGTCTTTGTTACTGTGTCTGTGCATGTCTTTGTCTTTGTGTGTCTTTGTTATTGTGTTTGTGTCTTTGTTACTGTGTCTGTGAGTGTCTTTGTGCCTTTGTTATTGTGTTTGTGTCTTTGTTACTGTGTCTGTGCGTGTCTTTGTCTTTGTGTATTTCTGGGCGTGGTGCTGCCTACCCACTCCCTTTTGTGTCACAGTACTGGCCTTCATCGGTGCTACTCGCTACGAACAGCACTTGCCCCAACAGTCTGTTAAGGCTACACGGGGTATCTTTCTCTTAAGTGTATAGAGAGCCATGTGCGAGTGTGGGGTGGAGCGGTGGCGCAGTGGTTAGCGCACTGGTGGGGGAGGGCGGGGGGAGCCAAAGTTCTCTCTGACGTCATCGCCCCTCGCACCGCGCGCCGCGTGGCGCTCAACGCCGAGAGGGCGGAGCTCCACCGCGGGCGTGCTGGGAACACGCGTCACGTGACGCTGCGGGGTGACGCGCGCCGTCCCCCTCGCGGTCACTCGCTCGTTGGGCAATAAACCCGGCGTGGGAATGGGATGGCATCACTAGGGGGGGACTACTCGTGGTGTGTGCTGAGCGTCGCTGGGATAAAGCATTTTTGTTATAACCAGGGGTTGAGTGACCCCCCCCCCCCCACCCAAACTAGTTTTATTTTACAGGGCATAGAGAGAGAGAGAAGCCATTTTAATACCTAGTAGTAGTAGGAGGTCTTTCGTCACCAATATTATTCGTAAAGTTTTGTTTTGATTAATATTTTAATTATCTGCTCTCAGACTTGGACCTAAAGCCACAACCTTCGATTCATGGGATAACGCATCTGCTGACATAAATGGGAACTGTGTTTTGACTTTGAAGTGGGTTAAAGTTATTAAGCGCCTGATATATATCTAGAGTGAGGATCTACCTTACAATACGACACGACTAATATTGTCTCAACACTCATAAATAACACAAAGACACTGTTATTACAGGGATAGAGACAACAAAAACTCCAAATTTCCAGCAGCTTGCAGGGTCATAATCCAACCCACGACCTCCTGCATACCAGGCGAGGGAGTTCACATCTCCGAGCCACCGCAGCACCCCTCTTTAACGTGAGACACCAATCCGGTGTGAACCCAACCTCGAGTCGCAGGGTGTTTAGCAACACGTAGATGATTTGAGACGCATTGATTATCTCGTACCAGTTGTGTAATTGTGTGAACGCTAATCGCATTGTGCTCTGGGCTGGGGGTGAGATTTCTACTTGCTTCATTGCTGGCATGGGTTTGACTTGTTTTGCTTTTTTCATTTTTGTGACCCAGGTCATTCTTGTCAATGAGACTCATCCTGGTCTTCTGAGTTCTCACCTCGTTAAATTAAAATTCAACTCGACTCGATCATCAGCATCAGCAGAACTATCATCAGCAGAAGAATTAGTAGCAGGAGCAACAGCCTCAACAGCAGTAGCTCCATCATTATCATCATCAGCATCGGGAGTAGAACCAGCAGCATCAATAATGATAGAATCATTATCATTAGTAACAGAATCATCAACAGCAGCACCATTATCATCACTCTTGCAACCGAGACTAATCCTGGTCTCTTGAGTTCTCACCTGGTTAAACAAATCGACTTTAACACGGAGGCTTTCGCGACCAATATTATCAATGATAAAGGTTTATTGGGTTAGATTGCGTAAATTTACATAGACCTGATTGTGTTCTGGATTACCTGTGAATTGTAATCACATTGTATTGTGGGTCAAGGGTCAATGTGTTCTGGGTGAATAAAAAATAAAATCTGAAAATCTATTGTCAAGATTGTCATCCAGGCTGTGAATGTGACTCTCTCATAGCTGAGACTGACTTGTGTAAACATGTATTTTTTTGGGATGGTTGCTGTTTTGTTTGTATAGATGTTATATTAACGGATATTAAACCCTGGCACAGTTAGTAAATCTACAGCTTATGCCTTCACAGGTAAGTGCTGTCTGTAGCCTTGGGCCACATTCCATGGCGCATCTCGTGTTTTTTTTTGCTGCACTCTGTCAGTTTGCTTGTTCCTCCTCATCATGAGCTATGATGATCAATGGATCCTGAATGATGGATGATGATGAAGAGCACGATGATAATGACTACGCTTGGTAATGATGGCCACCACCCACTCACCTGCACCCAACACTCTCCAAGCCGACACCTGCCACTCCCGAACCTACCCCCCCCCCAAGCCGTCTACAGAGACCTCCCTCCCACCTGCCCACACTCACACCTGCGCGGCCATACACCTGCCCATCCTGCCACCCTCCCATCTGCCCACCTCATGCTTATTCAAGCGCCCATTCCCGGCTGATCTTCCTCCCACCTGATAACCTTAAAACCCGCTCACTCACCTACCCGCACAAAGGCAAAGATCCCCTGTATAGCCTGAACAGACTGTTGGGCAAGTGCTGTTAGCGAGCATCTATGAAGGCCGGAATGGCACACGAATGGGTGGATGGCCAGCACCAAGCCCTGCCGCCTTTGTCCCGAGTGGTGATATTTATACTCTACACCAGGTACTCATTTGAGGCTGAATCGACCTAAGGGAGGCCCATGACCGGTACAGACAATGCTCATTGGTGTTGGTGGCCATGAGTGGGAATTTCACTTGGATCGGCAGGTTCATAGCACAGCGCACTAACCACTACAACACCAATCTCCACCCACCCACATACATCTCCTCAACCACCCACACGATCACCCTCCTACCCTCCCACCTGATCCCCCACTCATTTACATGTCAAGTTGTGAGATTATTTGTCAAAAAAATTACAATATTAAAGGTTACTATTTTTTTAAAGACAATTTCAAACAGTTACTCTAAAATAAATCCAGAACAAATAAATGTCAATGATAGAGACGACATACTTTTTTTAAACCTTTAATAATACATTTTTACAAGATACGGTTTGGTGCAGAACCCCACAAAGCCTCGCGACATTAGTCCAAGGGACAAACCATCACCGTTTGCCTGGCCACTGTGGGTTTTGTAGAAATCGCGACCCGTAAACCCCAATACCGTGGCGTGAATGCAACGCTACTGTCTAGGCAGGTGAGAGTCGATTCGTGTCTTGGTTCGCCGCCGCCGTGTGCGCTCCAGGGACAGCGTCTCTCAGCCACAGCGAGCGGCTATCGGTGAGAAGCCACTGAGAGTCGTGGAGAGCGCAATCCCCACTGAGAGCGGAGCGAGTGGACCTGGCTCCCGTCTGGAAGTGGTCAAAGCCGACCGTGTAACGTGTCTCACGTTTCGTCTAGACAGCTGCGGTTGCTGCGACGCTCGTGTCTGTGACCTTGACCACTTGAGAACATTTCCACGGAGTGTCTCGTGAGGTTTGTAACCTCGTGCTAAGTAATGTTGGCTTCCTTGTTCATCTCCGATGTTGTGAGCCCCCAGGATGATGATGGTTAAAATATTTTACCTGAAAAGTCGCTCGATTGAACTTCTCATTTGCAAGGGTATCCAAGGTGTCAAGTGACACATGCGTAAAAATTTCAATAAAATATTTACTATGGACTAAATTGTGTTCTATTTTACCAGGTGAGGTTTATTGAGAAATGTAGCTCTTTTTCAGAAACGATCTGGCCATCACACAACGAAGTGGCTTATCATCATGTGGAAATGTATAGCAGTAGCCTAATACTCTAAACGCATGATGTTGATTCTAA